ATTCTCTAGGTTCCCTACAGCTGACTTTCACATCTCTCGACAGCTTGTACCTGCAGCTAAGTCTGTGCTAACTCATAATATTATTCTACATGAAAGACAAACAGAGGACCAGATAAGATCAACTATGTCCTGAAACAAGTACATTCAGTATGTTCTAACTTTCTTCCCTTCACCACCCACCCCAAAGTCTAACTGCTTTTTTTTGTGCATCCAGCAATAGACCTTACTGACAGCAGTACCAGTTAATACTACCCTTCTCTACCCAGGAACAAAAAAGATTTCACTGACTCTCATCTAATGGATATTCCCTTATTCGAACAACTGGCTAACTATCCAATTTGCATTTCCAGCAAGAATAAGCCTACTCATTACAAATGCCTCACTAACAATACTCTCTCCAGTACAGCATCCGTCACCACTCCTCTTTTCATATGGTGCAAAGGAAAAGCCCAAAACTGTGTTAATTTCTCTTTGTCCACCTTTTGTGTACCAGTAATGATTACATCCCAGGTGTACCTACTCGAAAAGAAAAAAAGCCGCTCTCCTCCTACACAGCCACCAGCGGAGAGAAATCTTCATCCCTTTGCTGGTAGGGATTGGACTTGCACGTTCCCTGTGTGCTGGAGGCATTGCTACGGCAACAATTGTGCAAACCCAGCACCTGGCGGGAGATTTTCGAGACAAGCTGGACCAGGCAATGGCATCCACAACTGACAGCCTGGAATCTCTCCAATGACAAATGAACTCTCTCGCCAGGGTTGTGCTCCAAAACAAAAGAGCACTGGACTTAACAACTGCTGAACATGGGGGGACGTGTATGGTATTGGGAAAGGAATGCTGTTTCTTTGTAAATGAATCAAATGTTGTTGAAACCGATGTTAACACTCTCAAAAAACTTTGTAATGATCTATTTTCAAGATTTCAACCCACCAAACAATTAGGTTGGTTTAGTAATCCCTTGTATCTATTTTCAAGATTTCAACCCACCAAACAATTAGGTTGGTTTAGCAATCCCTTGTTTTCATGGCTCCTGCCCTTTGTTGGCCCCCTGGTCATGCTGTGTGTTATTTTGATGCTTGCTCACTGTTTTATAAGATTTCTTTGCTGACAAATTACTGCCATTGCTAAAATCACTACAAAAACAGGTCATGGTCAATTATCAGACTTTGGATTCTCCCGAGACAGATGAGTTGGCCCTTAGGGCTTGTGATGGCACTTCTCCATTTTTAAATCAAACAGGGGAAGATGTTGGGGACCCCTGCTGTTAGGGTCACAGTCTCTCCATGTCCTGATAGCCATGAGCCAGCTCAGCGCTTGATGGAGAAACTCCCCTTTTCAGCAGGGTGCCTCCTGTTCTCCTCCTGGCTCACCTTTGAAGTAGCCGCCACAGATGCCTTATCGGAAACATGACCTCTGGCATAGAAACTACCAGGTTTTTTATAATCAGGCATTGTCTGACAGCCTGACTGATAGAAGCCCACCGCCTCATGTAAATAAAACATCCTACAGAGCACCTATCAGCTGAGGCTTTTGCTACTGCCTCCACACTATAAATACCCTAGTTTCCCCTTAATTAATCGGAGCTGAATGAGTCTAACTGAGCTGTATCAATGAATCCGACTGAGCCGAGTTGTGTTTCACTGCACCTGGGACCAGCCTGTGAGCAGTCTCCCTGGAGGAGCTGTCCCCCATCAACATTCACTCACGAAGCTTCTGCATTCACCATTCCTGCGCTCCCTGCCTTGGCTCGTGGGATGGTGGCCAACGTCCCGCGGGCACAGTGACAGCATCCCACAGCTTGGCGCAGAGTCTGCACTCGCCAAAGCCGTCGCAGACCCGCCCGATCTGCAGAGCTTGCACCCGGCAGCCGCGGAGAGCCAGAGACCCACCCAACAGCGAGACCCACACCCAGCCAACAATAATTCTCTAATTGCATTCTTATGTATCACACAGTATAGTTTACAGACCCAGAAACCCATAAAGACTCTTCTAAAAATATTAAAGGTTTCTACTTCCCCATCTTGTCTGTAACGTTCAGTTCAACTCTTAAATCTTGTAATTGTTAATATCTCTTCAAATTTTTAAATCAGGTTTCTCTGTTAATGAGTTCATATTTGTTAACCACAAAATGTCACCTCTTTTTAATGTGTGTTTCATAAATTTTATTTATTCATTAGTACAATTTGAAAAGCAAATCAACAATTTAAAAACATGGAGTACACACTAATGTCTCTACCTCTATCAAAATGCAGGAATTTGAAGAATAGCAAACACATTTCCCATAGTTTAAATTTCATTTATTTATTTTCTTGGCTGTCAGTTGCATATATTAAAATTGTACTTTATTTTTCTTTTCCAGATTAGTTTTTACTTATACTCTGTGTGATACAATATTACAATGCTTTTAAAGGAAGTTAATTTGTTAGTTGTTTAATTTCCCATAGGCAATTATAATGCAAATAATTTCAATAATATTCTAACTCATATTAAGAAAATGTGTGCATGGAAGACATGACTATAGGGGAGCTAAAGAAGGTATACTTTTTAAAAAGGAATCCTTGATTTGGAATGAAAAATATTTCCTATATGTTACATTACTTTTTTTTTTTTGGTCTTTTTGAACCAGTGTCTCCCTGTAGCCCTAGCTGGCCTGGAACTCACTATGTAGACCAAGCTGGCCTTGAACTCACAGAGATCCGCCTGCCTCTGCCTCTCAAGTGCTGGGACTACAGGCGTGTGCCACCATGCCCAGCTTACATTACTTATTTTAATTATGATAATTTTCTTTCAAGAATCACTTACCTGGAAATGTCAATGAATAAGCAATTATTCTAAGATTAGCATGCCTACTCACAATATCATATAACATAGTATAATTGAAAACATCCTATAAGCTATTTTTACCTTTGCATTATAGGGAATGTAATGTTTTGACAAAGCTTCAGGCGTATGCATCCATGTTTTGTCTGCAATAAAGAAAATACAGTGTTAGGTTAAATAACAGATTTCTATGGTGTCATATTCATGCATTTTCCTTGCAAGAAGTCTGAAATGGGGAAGAGCATATCTAGTTCCTAAAGTAAGAAAGTGAGGTCAGTGTGATGTGAAAGTATTTATAGGATTCTCTTCTTAGTATAAAAGTCACTCTTTTTTTTGGTAATGTGAAGCATGTGGCCAAGGCTGGCCTCATACATGCTATTCTTCGTCCTCAACCTCATGAGAGATAGGGTTACATGTGAACCACCACACGTGGTCCTGAAGTTTTCAAGTAATACTGAGTTTTTAAAGAATGTGGAAGAATAACAACATTAGTAGACTATGAGTAATAAAAATTATGTAATTTAAGAAATGGATCTTCCTTCTTTCATTTTATACTCTCATGAATTGCAGGTCATGTGTCTTAATTCAAAGAAAATAGAAACAATATGTTTTTAATCATTGTTCTTATTTTTAGTAACAGGATTTGCATATTCTAAGGGAAATACCTTACTGTAAGGGAACAATTGCATTTATATGATGCTGCAATATCAATGTATTATGTTCATGGAAAACAGTGTGCTACTAGGGTAATCTCTATTCTACATTTCAGGAAATACTAGTTGAGGTTCTACCATCTGGAGTTTTGAAAATAAATAATGTTAGGCGTAGTAATTGGAAATAATAGAAAAGTGCAATAAAATGATAGAAATAAAACTAATCAAAGAGGTTGATATTGAAGGGCTACAGAGATCATTCAATCAGCAAAGTGCTTTCTGAACAAGCACAGGGTCTAAGCTCAGATCCAAAGCACCCACACAATAGCTGGCGCTACACTTCTAATCTCAGCACTAGAGGCAGAGACAGAAGGGTTCCTGGAGATTGCTGTAAGGCTAGTCCAGCTAAACTGATGTGTCCCAGATTCAGTGAGAGATCATCTCTCAAAACTTAAGGTGGAAAGCCACTGAGGGAAACACCCAGCATCAATGTCTGCCTTCCATACACATGTACACACAGGTGTATCTGCAATGCAAATTGCAAATACGACATGTTAACACATACACACATGAAGAAAGATAGATTTTGAAACTAACATGTACTAGAAATTACATATATTTTATTTATATTCACATCATTTATATCATCCTTCACTTCTGAGCTTTATTTATATATTCTATATTACTTGCCAAATATTCTGGGAAATTAAGAGGAAAAAGCAGTCAAAGTTTATGCAAGGCAATTTGATTCTCTTGTGAGATTGCATTTGTTTTGGAGAAAGACTTTTAAAAACTATTATTTATTTATTTTTATTTATAGTTTATTTATAGTTTATTTGTTTATTATTTATTTATTTATTTATTTAATGTGTATGAGTGTTTTGCCTGCATGTATGTAAGCGCAGCCATGTCAAGCAATGCCCATAGAGACTGAAGAGGGCATCAGATGCCCTGGAATTGGAGTTTCAGACAGTTGTTAGCCACCATATGGGTGCTGGGAACAGAACCTGGGTCCCCTGCAAGAGCAGACAGTGTGTGTAACTGTTGAGTCATCTCTCCAGCCCCTAGAGAAAGACTTCTTATTTGTCAAATATATTTTATTTCCATAAGTAAATTTTTGCATGTGTGTTATTCCTTGGGGGACTTTAAAAAATAGAGTCAATATAATAAATAGAGAAGAATTAAAATATATCTTAACATGAAAATAATAAATGTACACATATAAAGGAAATACTGAATTATTAACAAAGCACTTTCAATATTCAGTTAAGATTAAAATAATGTTAACAGACTTCTGTTAACAAAGACTAATTTGAAATCATTAATATGCACTTTACAAAAAGGGTGACAGTAAAGGTAAAAAAAATAACTTATCTGAGGATACTACACCCTGTCCATATTAAAGATATTTATGTGCTACACAAGGATTTCTAAGAAAGCCAGGCATGGTGGCACATGCCTTTAATCCTAGTACTCAGCTGGGGCTACAGGGAGACCTTGTCTCAAAAAGACCAAAAGGGAGGACGAAGAGGAGGAAGAGGAGGAGGAGGAAGAGGAGGAGGAGGAGGAGGAGGGTAGAAGAAGAAAGAATTTCTAAGAAAATATGATTAATCAGTGGCATCCAAGGCATCCAAGCTGTTTCTGTGTACAGAACAGAATCAGCAAATCAGAGCTATAATTAGGTGATATATTTTAAAAAACATGCACTTCAAGTTTTAAAATGTAATATTGACAATAGTATTTAAAGGGTAAAATTGTATTGCATTAACTTCCATCTTAATTATATTTTATGATTATTAGGACATAGAATTCAAGATGATTTATTAGATTTCAGATACAATTTTGCTTTTGCATATTAAAAAGCTGCAAAGTAAGGGCTAGGGAGATGGTTCAGTTTATAAAGTGCTTGCTGCAGAAACACGATAAGTTCAGCCCACCAGCACCCATGTAAAATACAGTCACCAGAGCTCCTATTCATAAGCCCAGCTCTGGCAGAGACAAAGACAGGAGGATCCCTGGGGCTTGCTGGACAGACAGTGCAGCCAATCAGTGAGTGAGCTCTAGGTTAAAAATAAATAAAATGATGTGGAAACTGACTAAGGAAGACACATGACATGACTTCTAGCCTTTGTACACACATACACCTGTGTGTACCTACAAACATGCACACACCTCTATGCCATACACACACAAATACAGATATATCACATACACATGCAAACCAACTGGTCATGATAGATTGTGTCTGTAGTTCTTCCATTCAGGAGGCTGTGGCAGGGGGAGCACTGCAGTTTTGAGGATAGCCTGGACAGCATGGTGGATTCCAGAACAACCTGGCTATAGAGTGAGACTCTGTCTAAAAACAAAGAAACCTGTAAATTACAGTATTGCACACTGAAGGCTGTGAAAACATCAAAGATTTGCCTTTTAAGATATCTAAAAGTCTATAAAGATATACAATTTCTCTTTTTGTCTCTTCACTCAATTCATCTTATAACACCTTTTAAAATTTCTGTAACACTTCTCAAGATGATGTGAAGTCAGACTGAAGTCTGAATATTGTGAAGGTTTATCCATATCCTCAGGCAAAACAAGACATGTTTTGTCTTGCAAGTCACAATTACTGGAAAGCTGTGCTTTTGCTCTGTGACTATCACATATTGCGGCGGCATGGGTATACACCACTGTTTCTGGTTACATAATGAAATAAACATGATGTGACAGTCATTCTTCTTTATCAATTGACTGGATTTATAATCAGCTGGGATGTATACCAGGGAGTGTAACTTTCAAAGAGTCTCCAGACTGGGGTGTGGTGGGGCTCACCTTTAATCCCAGGCCTCAGAAGGCAGAGACTGTCAGATCTCTGAGAGACAAAGGCCAGCTGGTCTACATAGTGAGCTCCAGGTGAACTGTGACTAGGGAGACCCTGTCAAAAAAAAAAAAACAAAAAACAAAAACAAAACAAAGGAGCTGGTGACCTAGGAGGTAAAGCACCCTGGAAGTAGGTGGCAACTTCCCTTGTGTTGGGGGTCAGACTGAATAAAAAGGGGAAAGAAATGAGAAAGCCATCTAAGCTCTGGCATTCCCCCTTCTCGGCTTCCTGGTCCATAAAGATGAGAGAATCCCAACCATATGTGCCCACCATGAACATCATGCTTTCCCACCATAATGGAAACTCCCCTCCCAAAGTGCCAACCAAAAAAAAAAAAAAGTTATTCCTCCCATATGTTTCTTCTGTCACACAGTTGGCTACAATGTCAACACAGCATCTAATATGGTAGTTTAGCATTTATCTATCATATATAACTTTGTTTATAGGTAGGATGTCTATAATACATGCAGATTTTTTTTTTTTTTTTTTAGTATTTTTGAGAAAGGATCTCCCTGTAGCCCCAGGTAGCTTGGAACTCACTATAGACCAGGCTGGGCTTCAAATAATAGAAATCTGCCTGCCTCTGCTTCCCAAGTGCTGAGACTAAAGGCGTTCACCACCATGCCTGGCATAAAACCTGCAGCATTTCTAAAAGAAGTCCTTACTATCATTCAAATGTATTTTTTAGTGAAAATAATCTAAATGTATTAACTTGCATGAATATATTTGGCCTTGGAGAATGAAATGCAGCTTATAGTCCTTGATCACCAGAGGTACCCACAGAAGCAATTAGATAACAGGAAAGATGTAGAAAGGCAACATAGACATTCTAGACTGTGCCCCCATTCTTTCGAATGATATGAAATTCATTCTCTTAATATTGAAAACATATATGAAAGGAAATGCCAACATTTCAAAAGTACTTGACAAATGTCAAACAACTCCAATGGCAAGATCATGGGACTGGAGAGAAGGCTCAGATGTTAAGAGCACTGACTGCAGAGGTCTTCTTGCAGAGGACCCAGGTTCAATTCCCAGCACCTACATGGCAGCTAACAATCATCTGTAACTCCAGTTCTAGGGGATCCAACACCCCACTCTGACCTCTGTGGCCATTGCACAACACAGGTACACTTACATGCATGCAGGTAATATACTCATACACATAAAATTTAAAAAGAATAATAAAATACTAAACAGATTAAAAGTTCATGAGGAAAAATGAAAAAAACATTATTTTTGTACCACATGAGGATAACACAGCTAAAGCACTTACTTTGAGCATATTACACTTAATACTAAATCCCTTCAGTGAATTGATGCATTTGAGTAAAATTTCCATTTGTTAAATATTTGTCTCATTTTTAATTAATATGCATGTTTGTGTTTGTGTCTCTGTGCATGTGCCTGTGTGTGAATATGTACACCTGAGTCCAGTTGCTCACTGAAGTCAGAGGCATCAGGTGCCCCTGGAGCTGGAGTTATAGACTGTTTTAAGCTGCTCTGACATGGGTGCTAGAAACTGGACTCAAGTCCTTTGTAAGAGCAATCTGCACTATTAACTTCCTAGCCATCTCCACAGTTCAAGTCTTAATTATTGAATTTTGAGTGTTAAGAT